AAGTCCAGAAATCGAAGAAAAAAATTATCGAGCAAAATATTTTGAACCATTTGGTAAAGAAAGTGAACGATCTTCATATGCTGAAGATGATGATTTGGCTGAAAGACTTTGGGAATTTACCGAGAATTTGATAAATGAAAAATTACCAAAAAATTGATTTATTATGTAATTTTGATATCAACAGATTGTTATAAATATAAGATCTAAATGAATATCATGTAATCTATCATCAAATAATAGATATCTAATAAATTTGAGCGTAAATTTAGTTTTTAAAATTTTTAATCTAATTCGACTGCATGTTTTAAATCATTTTAGATTTTTGTACATTTTCTCTAATAAATTTGTTATTTGCTTTTCATTTTTTGCAGAAACTAAGGGTGTTACGAAAATAGATGCATTGTGCACGACGTACATTTATATATTGCTTAGAGTCTTAGTGTTGATTGTAGAAATAGTTCAATAAAGTCCCAATATTAGGACTAGAACTAGAATTTAAAGAGTGCGCAAGATGGTTATTGTCGATTTTTCAAAAACTCGGCAATTTTTCATAGACTTGATCATAATACAAAGAAACTAGAAACTTATAAACTAATTAATTTCATAAATAGCATAGTTTTTAGGGATATTTGGGAGGGTTTCTTTTGATTCTCTTGCACAGCGAATGTTAACACTTTAATGAAACTATAAATGATATTTGTAATGATCTTTAAATGGTGACGTCGGCGCGATCAAATAAAAATGACGCAATTGGTTTTGTTTTTCTACACATAAATAAGCAAACATTAATAAAATTATAAAATAAATTTATATCTTTTGCGTAATAATTTAGTTAAAGATACACATATTTTTATGCAAGTTATGAAATGATTTTTTATTTCAAAAAAACTAATCTTTAATGTGACAGAGGTCAGTATTATATTTGTAAACGACTTCAGAAACAGAATGTTGTTTACTTTAGTTTAAGACATCTATTAAAGTCTATTGGTTTGAAGAGGAATCAGTTGCGTATTTTCTTTTATTAATAGATCTGTACTGAGGCACTTGTGATTTATCATTTTGTACTAGTATGACTTATCTAAAGTAGGCAATCTTGGCTTATTATCAGGATTTCTGTCTGTCTGTACTGGTTTTCAGAAAGTGTCAAGTCAGCTATTAGTATTATAGCTTGATAAGGATGTTCAACTAAGTAATGCTATTAGCAGCTCTATCTACACATGAGTGTTTTTTGTTAGACTTAGATAATTTTGGTGATTATAAGATTTGTTATTAAAAGAACTAATACTATTAGATAATTATCAAAAATAATAATTCTAACAACAATATTTTATGACAATATTTAATAACAATATTTAACAACAATAGTCAACTTACTGAACAAAGAACTTATAAAAGCTTGAATAATTTTAATAATTATAGAATTAGTTTAGTTATTAGGAAAAATTATATTAGTAGATAATTGTTGAAATAAGTTCAGAAACTTGAATTAAAAATTTTGACAATTATAAAATTAAATCTATAACAAAAAAAACTAAAATTGTTAGATAATTGGTGAAAGAATTTAAGTATTATATATAGTTCTTATTGGCTTAAATAAGGGTGTCTCAGTAGACTTTTAAGTTTTTACTAGCCTTTTACAAGTAAGTAGATCTAGTTACTGGCCTTTTGCTATATATTAATACTGTTATTAGTTTTTTGAAAATGGTTAGTTAGGATTTGAAATTTTATATAATAAACAATATAATATATTATTATTATTATTATTATTATTATTATTTTTTAACTTAAGCAGGCATGTTAGTACTTTATTAGAATTCTTGATACTATACAGATTACAGAGAATTTTTTTAATACTTAAGTCTAGCATCACCCAGCACCTTATTGGTACCTAAGTGCAACCTGTTGCACTACTTCAAACAGAGGTAGACTGCTTGTCTGACTGCTGCTCTACAATAGGATATCACTAATCTGATAATGTCTTCTCATAGAAAAGCAAAAAAAAAAACAAAAAAAAGATTTTATATGTAAAAAAAAACAGAGGTATAGAGGTAAATGATAAAAGATACAAAACAAGAAATAAAAGAGGGAAAGAAGACAATGAGAAAAAAGAAAAGTGTAAAACTTGTAATTTACAAAAAATCAGATGATCATGATTTTAAGCCTGTGTCAGATGTAAATTTACAATTCACAGATATTAGACAATCTCAATTATAAGTCTATGTCAGGCTTATAAAAATTATAAATTATACTAAATAGAAACTATTCTACTATCTTCCTATTTACTAAATTATTTAAACAAAAAACTAAAAAGAAGAAAAAACTTTGACTTTATTATAGAGTATCGATATAGGATATTGGTTCAATATTTGACAGATTTTTAGCAGCTTGGGGCATGTGTATAGTTATGTTTGTATTGCTGTATTATTTTTAATTCACATTGTAAACAATACTGTTTAGGAAATAAACACTGCTGACTGTTTTGGTAATTTTATATGTCAATCTTTAGGAGGGGGTAAACTGAATTGCCCACTTTTACAAAATTTTTCTCAAAGAAAAAGTAAGAGTGCTAGGTGAACCAACTTTTACTTTTATAAATTTCTAACCCTTGTGGGTGTTCCTTGTAGGTTTTACAATTGTATAGAACTAATATATTCAACTTTATTGTTTACTTAATGAGAAACTTTGGCTTTTACCAACTACTTCTTCTATAGTCTTAAAGTGCTCTTTAAACTGTTACTACAAGGCTGCAACTCATTTTCAACTCTATTTCAATGTCCAACAATGTGTGTGCAATACTTCAGAAAGGTTTTTATAAAGTTTAATATATTAACTATATCATTTTTCGTAGTTCAGCTTTTTGAAAAGTTTAATTCAGATAATTATCAAAAAGGGTTGTAATAGCATAATTATTATTATTATTATTATTATTATTATTATTATTATTTTTATTATTATTATTATTATTATTATTATTATTATTATTATTTGTTATCTTTAGTAGTCATGATGGTTAACCAGTTAGAAGTTTATTTATAAATGTTTAGTACAGACAATATACAAATATAATTATATTTAACTCCTTATACTATTATTATATAGTTACTTTAATTGGCACTTATGAGCAACCTGTCATATTAGACCTGCTAAAGTTTGAATCAAGCTTATCTGTCTGCCATCCTACAATTGAATAGTATCAATTTGATACCATTCATTTATAAGAAGAAAAAAACTTTTTGTTGAGAGAGAAATGTACTAAAAAATATATATATATAAAAAAAAAATATAAAAAAAAATAAATATTAAGAAATAAAAGAGAAGAAAGTTGTTAATGAAGATTAGACAAATAATTATTAATTATAAGGTTGTATTAGTCTACTAAAAATTATATGTTACTAAATACAGTAATCTTTATTTTAACTCTATCTAATTAACATATTTATTACTAAAGCTTATATTCTAAGAAAAATAATTTAACTAAAACTGAATTGGCAGAGAATTTTCTATATGCTAAATACTCTCAGTTCTTGTTATTAATACTTGTTATATTTTTGACCAATTATCTTATCTTTTGTTAAAAATCTCTAATCTTATCTTATTATTGTATTTGTTTTCAAAACACATATACTTATACTTTATTTACAATACAGGCCCTTTTAGAATAGAACTGATAAACAATCCTGATTGAAAAAATTAACAATATTAATTTTGATAGGCATAAGCTTCAAGGTAGAACCATTCAGAGTGCCTGAGTTTGTAGATTATTATACAATTAATAAAATTTTTTTTTATATATTTTACAATACTTTTTTTATAAGCTTAGATAGATTATCTTTTCTGTAAATCTACAAAGTATATTAAGTAAAAATTAAAGTTTTTATACTGTATTATTATAATATTAGTTGAATCATTCTAAATTATTTGACCTTTATATTAGTTTAATTTATTAAAAAAAATAACTAATACTAAGTATTATATAAATTGCAAAACTACTAAGCCAACTACATTTTATTCTTTAAAAGACAAAAAGTAAGAAAAGGCAGAAAATAATGATTTAACTAAGATAATATAAATAAAAGATAATAAATTATATTATACTTGTTATATAAATTTTGTAGAAAATCCACTATAATAAGGAGCCAAATAAGTAAAAGTTTTAGTTAAAGAAGTTAAAGTTACAATTAGAGAAATAGAAGTTTTAAGTTATAATATAAAAACTGTAATAAAAGATATAAAGGCTATGAATAAAAAGGTAAGTATAATCAATCTCATTAAAACTATTAAGGTTATGTTAAGAATGTTTTATAAAAAAAAACATGTAAAGAAGGAAGATCTTATTTATTTATATAATAAACTGTAGAAGGTATTTTATGCAAATAAATAGTTGTAAAATTTTATTGATTAACTTTATTTAGCAACTAGGTTACTTAAATATAGTAAGAAAACTATGAAACATATTAAGAAATCAATTGTTTATATTTATTATCTTTTTGTATTATTAAATTATACAAAAATTAATTTTTTTAAGTTCAATATAGTATATTATTTGGATTTTGTAGATATGAGTAATAAAGACATAGATACATTATCAAATTTCAATATGTCTTCAATGTCAAGATCAATAAGCCAAAGAAAAAAAAATGCAGATGCTTATAAGAAATATATAAAAAATGCTTTTTCTAAATATTTAAATAAAGCTTTCATTTTGAATATTGATAACTATTACAATATTCATGTTCTATGGCAGACTGATTTGACAAGTATATTTTATTTAGCATACATAACAACAATTGTGACAAATTTATGTTTTATAATAGCAATACCATGTAATAGGATATTTAATCCAAAGTATTTAACAGTAAGCTAATAATAAAACATCTTAATAAATAATTTATTACTACTCTTGATATTCCTTAATATAAATATTATCAAAATTATAGAGTAAGTGTTCTAATGATAAACTCATTAAAAAACTAACTTTGCATAGTTATAATAACAGATTAGTAGAAAAAAAGAGTGACCAGTATATACAAAATGCTTTTTTTAATTTTGTCAGAGACAATCTAAAAGAAGTTGAAGATTAAACAAAAGTTCTTTAAATTGTATATAATCAATAATCAATGCAAAACTATCTTTTTAGCTATGTAATTCTTATCATTA